TAGTCCTAATAGTATCCTAGACGCAGGCAGCTGCTGTCTTGTGGGATGCCAGTGCTTTTGACTTATTTTCGTCTTAGTTATTTGCCTCTGCATGTTAGGCATTTATTTATTTATTAAAAAAAAAAAAAAAAAAAAAAAAAAAAATCCGGGGGTGGGTCCGTAATTTTTGGCGGCAATATATTTCTTCGGAGTAACTCACTGTTCTTAGCATTTTTTTCTTCTCGAAGTTTATTTGAACTGTGTTGGGCTTCATATGCGAAAGTTGAGAGTTGTTGTATCTGAATTTGATTTCCATTAATTGAATTTATTGTGAGCATAATTATTATATTTGCAATTCTCTCACTTGACTATTCCTAATTGCTAAACAACCCCTGAGCAGACCAACAGTCATCCTTGGAGAACCCCGTATTCATTTTTTTCTCTCCAATTTTTCTTCTTCCCTACTGCTCTGTTTGCTTCTTCTTCTTCTTTTGCAGCAAAACCCCAAAAATTCAACACAGTCGAAGGGAATCAACAACATCGTCATGGGCAAAAGAAATAAAAAAAAAAAAAAAAAAAACATCGGTGGTTCATCCTCGTCGTCCAAACGACGGTCCTCACGGCCGCCTCCGTCGACAATTTTGGCAATCTGCCACTCATTTTGGTCCCTAGGTTTTCTCCACCGCTGTCGCCGCCAGTCTCACCGCCGTCACCGTTCATCTATTCTCCACCATCTCCTCTACTGCCACACTCGCCGGCTGCCCAATCGTCACCACCACCGTGTGCACCGCCATCGCAACCACCCAAACCGGCCTCACCTGCACCCCGCCACCTCGCCGCTCTCGTCGACGCGTTACTCACTCTGCCTCGCCTTCCGCTACTCGCACCACCGCAGGTCACTCTGCACCGGATCCCGTGGTGCCTATCTCTGCTGTCGATGCTTTTAATTCTCGGTTCTTTCTCCGAGCGCATCAAACCCGGTGGCGTCTGTCAAGTGGTTCATGATTTTTATGCCAACCTACCTAGTGGGGTCTCTGATTTTCGAGGTCGTTTTTACGAAGAAGAAACTCGACTATTTTACTGCCCTTGCTCAGAAAGGGGGAGATTATTCTTGAGGGGGAGTTGACAACGAAGCATCAACCCAGGAGGAACCGCATACAGGGGGAGCTGATGCAGCTGCTGGAACTACTACTGAACTGTTGTTGCTCCAACTGTTCCAACAATTGATGGTACAACAGCTGAAGTTGATACGAATGATGACGAGGAGTTGTTCGTTGATGCTGAATGTATTCTGGAGTAGTTTTTTTGTGGTTGTCGAATTGATTTTCTGAACAACGGCCTCTAATAGTCTGCTAGGCTTAACTTTTTTCTTGTTTCGTTAACTGCTTTTTCCTTTAACTGTTCTAACAGTTACTCTATTATGCAGTCTAATGTTTTGTCAGGTATTTGATCAAGGGGGAGGACTTGATTATAATAAATAGATGACAAAGGGGGAGATTGTTAGAATCCGAGAGGATTCTATTTCGGTTTTTCAACACGTGTGCGAAAAACGTGTATAAAAACTAGGGAAGTTTCCTTAGTTCTTTAAACTCTTATTTTGTCATTAATTTATTTAATTGCCTAAGTGTTTTATTAACAAGGAATTTAATTGACTAAGACTTTCCTTGTTTTACATAACTCCTTGTTCCTTACGTGAAGAGTATTTCTAACCTAATGGGCTCTAATTTTTGTAGGGCTCTACTAATTCACCAAATGAAGTATAAGAAGGGCAGCATCAACGTTTTTATACGTTGTCCCTTTTATTTGAGAGAAAAACTTTTCCTGCTCTTACGTTGCTGCTCCTAAGTTGTGATCTTATTCGAGAAGAAAAACACAGCAAAAGATTTGCTTCTTTCACGCGAAAAGAAGATCGGTTCTTCGGGAGGAGAACTCAGAAGATCTCGGGAGGAGGTCGATCCGCCGACTGAGGGACTCAGCGTTGAAGGAATTTCAACCGTGCGGAAAGGGACGTGGTGCAAAGTGAAGATTCACAATTCAGCATAGGATACAAGAACGGCGTCGACAAAGAGGGAGTCTTTGCATTTTCGATTAAGTCCTATTACTGTATTCGTAAAACTAAAAATTAGTGAATTTCATTTGCAGGTCCCCGTGGATGTAGGGTACAATTGTATTCGAACCACTTTAAAATTTGTGTCTTTTTATTACTGTTCCATTAACTGTTGCAACTCTTCGTAAAACAGTAGAACAGTAGCTAAAACTGAATCTGGAATTTATCGGACACAAATTTATAATTAATTTGCACAAAATAATTCTAACATTGGGGACTCGTGTTGGTCTAAAAAATAAAATAAATAAATAAAAAATAAACAAATTCCAACTTTCAAGAACAAAAGATGCAATTGAATAAAATTTCGTATCACAGTGAATTACAAAATATTCCGCGTAAACTAATTACAAAATAAATTACAAACAAAATTGTAATAAAATTTAAACACAATTAACAGAAAATGTAATTAAGCAAAGCAAACACAACTCTTTTTTTTTTTTTTTTTTTTTTCTTGTTCACACAACAGAAATGATAATTATTAATTAATTATAAATCCCAAAAAAATAAAACCCTCATCACTTAGCTTCAGCAATCCTGGTCTTCCTCCTCTCGAGGAAGAAGAATCCGAACAGAGAAACAACCGAGAAAGCGGAAAAGCAGATCGACGCTATGTCGAGTGACACGTGTCGTCCTGTGACAGCTTCGATGTCGAACAGGTTCGTCTTCTTTTCGGTGCTTGTTGTCTGTCCGTACGCCACTTCCATGTCAGAAGCGTTGTGTGCGTATGCCCTGACGAAGTACTTTGCGGTGGGGACGTCCCTCTGCACCGTCCAGGTGGCGGTGGCGACGGCGCCGCCGGCGATGTAGGGTTTGGCGACGATCTTGTGGGAGCAGGTTTTGTCCTTTGTGAGGTCGTCTTTTGTCTTCCTCCAGCCGCGGTCAACTTGGCTCACCGGCGCGTAGCATAGCTTCACCTTAATCGTCTTGTATGAAGCGTCGGTGCCAGCTGGCGCGCTCGGGTCCAGCGCCCACGTCACCGTGATGTTGTCCAACCCAGCTTTCAGAACTGCAATTTATTATTCAATTAGCTAGGTTAGAGAGAGAGAGAGAGAGATATCTAGAGAGAGAGAGAGAGAGAGAGAATCTTGAATTTGATTTTTACCTCCTTCTTTGTGTGTGGCGGTGACGGTGAGAGTTGGGTGAAGAGATTTGAAGGAAACGCCGCCGTAGCAAGTGGCAACCAAGCAAGAAACAAACACCGAAGCCAGAAGGAAACGCTGCAGAATCGCCATTGTTTTAATCGGTAATTAATGAGCGTTTCTGAATTAATTAATTAATCAATAATCAATTTCAAGAACAGTAGTTAATTTCCCAGCTGATTAGTACTTGTTGATTATGGGATGTTTGAAGATGAAAATAAAGGTACAATTTAGTAGGCTTTATATATATAGAGAGAGAGAGAGAGAGATTAACTATATATTAACAACGATTATTTCATTACAAATACGTACGTAAGCCTAATTAATAAAGTCAAATGCATGTATACGTACAACTTGCAGGGAGTTGGCTCAAAAGCATGTCCGAAGGAGGGGGCAATATAATTGTTTTAGCCATTAGTTTTCGAGTTGACTTTGGATAATAATATAATAATAATAATAATAATAATAATAATAATAATAATATATATATTCTAGATATATTCAGGAATCATAACAATGAATTAGTATCTATTATTATATATATGTTCAAATTGATACTGAATGACTTTTGTTGTCTGTATAGCAGTAGTTGTGTGTGGCCATGTTTTTATTTTATTTTTATTTATTTAATTTCCACAATATAGGAAAAGTAGATGGAACAAGTATTCACTTTTGCCAATGGTTGGCCACGTGGCATGCATTTTGAAACTAAAATTGCTGTATAATCTATTTTTCATGTATTAATCCTGCATTGGGAAAAAAAAAACACTATTAGTTGAGGATGTTTTTTCACTGAAGCAGTCAAGTCAAATCATGTTACTGTGTCATATTATAACATAGGATGTTGATGTTTGGTTGTATATAGTGTTTTCCATTTAAATTTATCCTCGAAACAATATAAAGTTTTTTCTTTCTTTTGGTTAAGATATTTTTAAACATGTTTTACGACTCAAGATACAAACAAACATCATCGTGTATGTCGAATACCTAATAAACTCTCCGAGTATGACATATATATATATATGTATGTAACTTGATTTACTAAATATTTTCTAATTAGCTTAACCTTTAGAACTTGTTACATTGGTTCAAGTTGGCTATGATGTTTGATCAAGAGACATATGAGAAGACACAACTCGATTTAGAGTTGAAAGTTTCCAATTTATTATTTATTTATTTCTTTATTTTGACAAGATGGCTAACTTTTTGCCTACTTCATTTGGGATCTATTTTAATAACTATGTGTATGTATTAATGTAATTATTGAGGACTCGTGTTCGTCTAAATAAATATCCTTCAAATAATAATAATAATAATAATAAATAAAATAAAATTCAAAAAAAAAAAGGACGGGTTGATCAACTTTCAACCAAAAAGGATGCATTTGTCTCTTTAGATCCAAGAAGCCAAGAAACTGATTTTCTGCATATATATACCAACCAATAGGGCGGAGCCAGAATTTTCTATCAAGTTGGATTAGAAAAAATGGTGCAAATTTAGACCGGATGGCCTGTTTAGTAGAAAAATCGGATGCCATAGGATGATTGACACGTGGATAATTTAGATAATAATATAATTAGGATTCTAATAATGGGAAAAAAAGAAAAAGAAAAAGAAAAAAAGAAAATCCATTAAGAGTTATGACTTAAGAATGCCAAATGTCAAAAAATTAGTGGAATCTGATTTATATTAAATATCGGCTGATCCGCTCAAAATTTAATCTCTGAAAAAAATATCAGAGAGAGTTCGGGGACAATGTTCCATAGATTTATCATGTAAACTACTTGCAAATTATTTAGAATTTGATCGTATAAGTTACATAAAAAAAAAATTCAATTGATCCTTTCGAGTTTTTTTACTATAAAAAATTGACATAATTGAGTAGTTACATAAACATATAACGTGTAATTTTATTTTTATTGAGAGTGACGGCAATTCCCATAGCCTAATTAGAGGGTTTGATGATAGGGCTTGAAATCAAATCAGGCTACTCGATTCGAAATCGTTCGTTAAAAGTTTGTTTGAGCTCAGTTTGTTAGCATAACAAACAAAGTTTAGCTATATGATCAAGGTTCAACGCGCGCTTAGCCTCCGAACACCATCCAACAGACCCGACGGGTCGTGGTTAGACTTGGGCTTGAGTTTCCTAGAGAACATTATTTTCTTAGTAAATATAAATAGAATTTGAGCTTTAAATATTTAATTGAATTACTATCCCCAAGCCCAATAAACAATAAATTGTTTGGCCCAAATACATAACTAATTGGCCCAAGTCCAATTATACTTTAATATCTCACACAATCGAATCCATGAATCGAACTTCAAATATAAACGATCAAACAACAATAACATCGCACGGTTTATGAAATTCTACATCCGGTAAAAATACAGCATGTAGTTTTAAACTGTAGATATGAGCAAATAACTACCCACTAAACACACATGCACATGGGTGTCTGTTATTATGTGTAGATCTATAGTGTAAAATTACATGTTGTATTTTACCAGGCATAGGTTCTACAAAACCATATTACGGTCAATATATTCTTGATACAGTTAAACCTCTATAAATTAATACAGTCGGGACTAGGGAAATTATATTAATTTAGCGAATTATTAAATTATCGAATTAAGAATTTAACAAGTTTTTACCGATTCGGAACCGAGATAAACTATTATTTATTCGAAGTTATTAATTTATCGAGTATTAATTTATCAAGGTTGTACTTTGTTAGTCGAAAACCTACACGCAAGTGCACGTATCGTACAAGTAATATAGTGGACAATTAAGTCCGGATATCGAACCCACAGGGAATATTTAATTACTTAATCCTAGACGCTAAATTCTACCAATTATTATCAAGCCCACCCTACACAGTCGAGTTTTGAGAGAATAAACTAAATTAAACTAAATTAAAAACAAGCAAAAACAAGAAAGCAATTAAAAACGAAGATTTAATCAAAGTAGACAAGCCTAGGATTTTATTCTTCCCCCTATGTGATTATTATTTCCCCAATTCCTTCAATTATACAAGCAATTAACCCGGATTATTAACCTGAGATGCTAAAATAATCATAACCCGCTTCCGCGTGTATTACAATTCTAATACTCTAGATTCAATTACTATATTCCTATGCAATTAATTCTAGAACACAGCATTAAGCACAAATCTCAATAATGGCTACCTAAGAGATTAACTATATTCCTATGTTAATACCACAAAGGCTCTTCTACCACAGTTCTAATTATTAACCCGATCTTCCGATTCATGCGATTAACAATAACATAAAAGCACATAAGTTGATCAAGTTCATGCACTTAATAAAACAAGTAGAAGAAATAATCCGGAATTAAAACTTGCATAAAATCATAGAAAAGGGTTCATAAATCCCACATAGGGTTCCAAATAAAATCCTAGAAATAAGTAGTTTAGCTACTCATAATTAAATCAAAAACGCAAATAAAATAAATCATAGACGGTAAATCTTTGCTTGGAGTCTTCGAATTCTTCGTTATTGCTTTGTTGCTCTTGAAATTGCGTAAAAAGATGGATCCCTAATTGTGTGCTTGGCTTGGTCTTATATAGGGTGGAGAACTTGGGGAAGAAGGCAGTTTCCTTGTGCAATTAAAATTCCTTCACTGCGCTATTTCGCCCATCCGGACGGCCGTGTGAGATTTATGCCTAAAATCCGCACGGCCGCGCGGTCTATTCTCCAGAATTCTGCTTTTTTCACTTTTGGCCCATATTTTCTCTAAAATTGCAGTTTTGACCCCATACTTTTCCAATTCTTCAATTTGTACCTAAAATACAATAAATCAACTTTTTAAGCACCAATTATCGTTAAAACACACCAAAAGCTCAAATAAAAAGATACGATAAAGTATAAAAATATACACTTAACATACTTAAACCGAGTGGTCATCACTAGAAAAATGTAACACAAACGTTAGAAATGAAGCCTAACATTGCCAATTTGCCCATCCTCACAAGGCCGATTACACACAAACAACAACACACAAAAAGACACTCCTTAAGGCCGGCACTTGTATATTATTCTACCCACAATATATATATTACAATATCAAACTTTCCCTTGAATTTTCAGTCCACTTTCCCCTCTCTCAAAACCAACTTTTCTTTCTTTCTATTCTATTTTTAATGTGCATGTTTCATTTGTAACGAATAACGATGCAAACGGAATATGCGGACAAAAGATTCGCCCGACACACGTCGAACGAGATTCGGGCCGGGCCGTCCGTCACACTGCAGAGGAAGCTGGTAGAATCGAAGCTCGCTAGCCCGAAATTAGACCATAGTAAACAAACCCCGGACATCACGGATTTCATGAACGACTTGTTCTTCGGAACAATCAATGGTGGTGATCATCCGAAGAGAGCTTACAATCTCAACGGTGGTGATTGTACTAGAGGGCGGGCCTCACAAGATCAAGATAATGATGATTTCGACTCGAGCACTAGGAGCGTCAGCAGCAGACAGACTCAGGAGTGGCTCGAGGAGGCTAAGCGGATGGTGGCTTCCTCTCCTAACTCAAGGGGGGCCGATTCCCCCACTAGGTTCGTTGGCTCGCCAAGATTTGCTACGTCGCAGGCGAGGTTTTCGGCTTCGTCTATTGATAGAAGAGACCCTTTGTCTAGATCTGCAAGAAGGTACAATCATTCGTCATAACTAGCTAGGGGTGTAAATTGAGAATAAAATTTCCGAATTCTGCCGATTTTGGTCCGAATATGTAATATTTTTCATTCTGAATTCCAAAAGTTCCGATTTCCAATTTTTTTTTTTTGGTTAAACGGAATTGGAGTACATATTATATTTCGATTTTCGATCCGATTTTTATCACCCAAAAATTTCGCTTACAATATCAATATTGTTATATATAAAATGACTAATAAAAATGGAATTTTCGAGTTCCGCCGATTTTCGAAAGACAATATTTTTCATTCTGAATTCTGATTTCTCCTATTTTTCGTAACAAACATCAATTTCTTACAAGATTGTCTATTTAAATAAGGGTTAAATACAGTTTGCACCCCTAAAGTATACCCTCTGTAACACTTACCCCCTTAAAGTATCATTTCTAACACTTACCCCCCTCAAGCACAATTTAATTTGTATTTTAATCTTTAATACCTTAAAAAAATATTTTATTGAAAGGAATAACTAAAAGAATAATTAAATTATACAACTAAAAATATTTGTTCAAAAATACAGTATTTAAAAATTTAAAAATATTATTTTGCGTTGGATACTTATTCAATAAATAACATCTAATTGTTGTTGGACCAACTAAATCAAAAATACTCTATCGATTAATTTGAAGAAATCAATACATAAATAATATAAATCTTAAATATTTATATTTATTTTAGTTCATTAATTTTTTTAAATATATTTTCATTCATTATTACCCAATATATATTACTTTTCAATAATTAATTTTAGTTATTTTTCAATTTTCTATGAACCGTTAATTATTAGATTGTTATGTTTATTATTTTTTAAATTTTAAAATACAAAATAATTGATGTTGAGGGGGGTAAGTGTTACAAATGATACTTTAAGGGGGTAAGTGTTACATGAGATATACTTCAGGGGTGCAAAGTGTATTTAGCCCTTTAAATAATGTAACAGAAACAGGGCATTGGAAGGTTTTAGTAGTGAAATCCTTTCTAAAACAGCAACCCATACCCGGAAAAGATCCGAAACCAATTTGGACCCTCCACCACAACAAAATGGATCCCCTACATCAGATGCACAAAATTGGGTTTCCTCTGACCCCACACCACCGAGCCCCACAAGCAATCCGGGGGGCCCACCTCTCCCTCCCCGCCAATCAACGCACCGCAGAACCCGGTTCCAAGCACCCGCGCCCCAGACGATCCCAGCTCTTCCCGCCAATATTTCCCTTTCAAAAAGGACTTTCAAATCAACTCCAATCACCTCAAACTCGCCTTCTCGAATCCCCGAGGCTCAGCTTCTCTCCCCGCCGAAGCATCTCGTCGAGTCCGCCCACCGGAGGTCGGTGTCGTCGAGCACGTGCTCCGTGCCGGATCCCGCCGGAATATTCCTGTCGCCGCTGCGGAACTTGGTGGAGTCGGCCCACCGGAGATCCGTATCCTCCTCCACGTGCCGAACCGATCGTAACTTCCGGAAGGATAATAGTAGCGACGACGGTGGCGGGAAATTGAACGGTCGGGATTTGATCAACGGATTCTTGAAGCAGCAGAGAGTCAAAATTGAGAAGCTTTTGAGCGGCGAAATCAATGGCAGGGCCAAGATTGTTCTCTCTGGACCCTCCAACAGTTAGTTTTTATTTCATCTTTTTTTTTCCGTCAAGAAATGTATAGAAAACTATAGAATATAATCGCAGTCTTGTCGTCTGTCGTTGTTGGCAGTCTTGTCATCTGCTGTTGTTGGCGGTCTGAGAAATGCTGACGTCATTTTTGGGGTGATTTGTAGGTACGAGTTCAATGGTGGCGGCCACGTGTTACGCGTGGCTATCGGAGAACAAAATGAGAGCGAATAAAAGTGGGAATGATTTCGAATTTGTTGTGCCTGTGATGAACATAAGGAGAGGGCAAATGTGGAAGCACAGTCAAGCCGCTTGGCTTTTCGATCACGTCGGCCTTGATGCTACTTCGTTGCTCTTTGCCAATGAGGTATGTATGGTTTAAATTACGGCCACTCATGAGGTAAGGTTAAATTACGAAAAAGACCCTCATATTTGGGTAATTACAACCAATACCTTCAACTATGAATCTTCTTACACGTCCATCCTTGCGGTTTCAGATTTAGTTGAATCTTCTGATTATATGGTACATTCTCAAGTTTGTACCCGTTTTCTCCCATTCGAGCTCCACATTTTGAAGCATGATGATCATAAGATTGTTTTTTGGCTTGTACATATCAGATTCTGGTGCATCAGAAACTGCATTTTTGCACAAAACGAGTACAAACTAGAGAACATTCCACGGAATCTGGAAGATTCTGTTGAATTTGACACCATAAGGGTAGACGTGTAAGAAGATTCATAGTTGAGGGGACTAGTTGTAATTATCCAAATATGAGGGGTTTTTTTAGTAATTTGATCTTATCTCAGGGGTTGTTATATAGGTTTTTTGTGTCTCGGATTTATATTGATGGAGTTCATTCTTGAATTCGGGTTTTGCAAAGCCTTCTGTCTCGTTGAATTCTGTGAAACTCGAATTTATTTATTTTTATTTTTGGGAGAATCGGAGCTGATTCTGCTGTATTATGTTGAGTCAGGTTGATTTGGAGACACTAATGATGTCTATGCAATTAAGCATGCTTGTAGTTGGGGAGGATATCCTTAAAACGAATGGCGAGGTCGGTTATTAATTCTGTAATGGCACGCATAATTCGAAGGACTATCGTTTTATTTTATTTTTTTCGATATTTTTGGTCTAGGTTGGATCATCGTGTACTGTTCTTACCGATCATTATTGCGAGGATGCATACGACCTACTTCAGACACCGATCTTGAAGCAACTTCTGGTAATAAAATTACTTTAAATTTCGCCACGTTTCGCCTTCCGCTCGAAGCATTTCTTGAAAAAAAAAATACACTTACATAGTTAAGATAACATTTTCTTGTTTTTTTTTCGCCGCAAGGGACTTATCGAAATTTTAATTATCAGCTAGCAGGTATACTATTGGACACGAAAAACCTAAGTACTTCCCCGAAGCTGTCTATGGCTAGAGATGCAGAGGCAGTTCAGCTTCTCTCCGTTTCCTCTGCTCCCAACTATAGGAATACTCTATACGATCAGTGTACGTTTTTTTTCGACTTCTCGTCGTTATATTTATTTATACATTAAAAAAGATTCAAGAAACTACTATATATAAGTTGATAAAAATCCAATCTTTATTCGGGCTTTTTTTTTTGTTTTATTTATTTATTTATTTATTTTGTTTTTTTGCAGTGGTGCAAGATCAAAGAGATAACGACTTCTTTGAAGCTCTATGCCGTACGTACGGGAAACCTCCTAGCGAACGTAAGCTAAATATCTTAAAAATTACAAGATAATGTGTTATGTTTTGCGTTGGAACGAATATATATTCTTGAAAATATGTGTAACATTTTTCACTTATTTCACATATCCGTTACTTATTGTTGTTTTTCCGATTAATGCAGTTAAGTGGGACGGTAGAATTTCTGAGATGAAGATTCCTTCCGATAAATTTATTACACAAAATGAATCAAATGATGCAAGAACAAAGAAGGTTTCACCTATTTCAGGTACCGTCTGAAACTACGATTCAAATACGAATTAGTTTCGTTAATGATCTAAAAGACCAAAATTTTTGTAATGTACTTTCCCCCCTAGTTGCTTGATTTATTTAATATATTAAATAAAATCATTTGCGCAGGTAAACCTAGACCGTCTCCGATTCCGACTCCGGTAAAACCAACCGCAAAACCGAACGAAGATCCCTCTCGTGGAAAAAATCGAAACTTTTTCGCCAAGTTGTTTGGATTTGGTTCAAAATAGTCCATACTTTTTTGGAGTCTTCTCTATGTTTTTTTCTTTTTTTTAATAATTTAAATTATTATTTTTGTAGCAAACAATAATTTGAGAAATGAGTTGTCTGCATGTAATGTTATTACAGCTGTGGCTGCATCTTCAGACAATTTCATGTGTCTACCACATAATGCAGACACACTTTTGGATTTCCTTATCTTGTCTATTTCTTCTTGTACTAGTTTGTTTTGTTTAATTAAATTGAGCTCCCTAACTTCTTGCCAAATTCACTTAAACTCTAAAGTTCCATTTTTTTTCCAAATATGATTTGTTTGGTAATTTTACGAACCGTAATATTTCCTTCCACGTCGATTATATGCGAATATTTTTATGTATTTTTTCAAAGGGGGGATCGATTAGAACTCCCTAAAAATTATTTTGTATTAGCTAATAGTCTGTTGGCATATTTTGAAATTGCTTAAAGTCACTCGAACAGCGTAGTTGGACAACTTAGATTGAAATAAACGGCTTTGACTGTTAATAGACAACTTAGTTAGATAGCCTACGCTGAAAATAGACACAAACTGAAAATGAAAAGCTTAGTAGAAGCATATAGACTGAAAATAGACGTCTTAAACAGAAAAAGAAGATTGAGATCGATGAAAATAACTTTTTTCAGTGACTTGTTTGGCGAATATAGGCGGTCGACATCAGGGACTAGTAAACGCCGTTTTTTTCGTGGATGGGATATTATGGATGGCGGAGGTGGACGAGGATAACGTATTTTCAATCTATCTTCAGTATAGAGTATAAACTATCTAATTAAGTTGTCCGATAGACTTTTAACAAAATGAAAATATATACTCTCTTGATATAAAAGAAAATTAGACTCGAAGTGTATTTACCAAATTACCCTTTTCTTATTTGTTTATGCCACTTAATCATAATGTACATATAATATAACAACAACAACAAAATAGCTCATTGTTTTCTTTCCAATTACCACAATATATATATAGAACTTGTGAAGCTTCTCAATATTTGCAAATTGAGAAATAAAAAAAATTAAAAATTAAAAATATCACATATAGTTATCTAGAACATCTTTTTGCCAACAAAAAAAAAAAATTTAAAATTTAATAAACATGGAGATGCCTTTGGTTGGGTATGTATTATGTTATCCAATCTGTCTTCTTCAATCATTCCACTAATTAATTGCCACCTGTAAATAAATATAAAACTCCCAAACTCTCAAAGTGGGCCCCACCGTATAATATGATTTTCTTCATTTTTCCTTTTTCTTTTTTTTTTTTAATCTTAAATCAATTATTCCACTCTCCAAGCATAGAGGAAGAGACAAAAATCAGGACCTTCCGCCGAGCCGCCGGAGCTCCCCGGCGGCGGAGACGGCGGCGATGACGTGGACAACGCCGGCAGCAAAGTAGGCTTGAATATGAACAAAGCGTGCCGCAAACCAGGGCTGAAGAGCCAATCGTGCACATCCCAATAAACATCGATTCTCGCTTTGTTCAGATGAATCGATTCGTTGCCTCTGAACTTCCATTGGAGGTGTTTCACGTGAACCGCTAAATGCCCGTCGATCCGGATCTCCATTTCCGGTTCGACCGGCGAGTTCGGACCGGTGCTCTTGTTCTTGCACTCGATCGAGATTTCGTGGAAGCTGCCTTTGTCGTGGAATTTGACCCTGGTGATGAATTTCTTTTTGCCGAAGATGTGTTCTCGTCGCGAGATTAGAGTCGGGTCGACGAGTGCGGGCCGGCAGCCCGTTTTTCTGTAGGCCTCTTTTTTGAGGTTTCCGAGGAGGACGACTTCGCCGCCGCAGACGACGGCGACGTAGTAGTCGGAGGTGGGTTCGGTTTCGCCGTTGAATCTGGCGATTTTGAGGTCCCAGAAGACGTCGACAGGTTTGTCGCCGTCGATTAGGAATCGCTTGGAGCCTTGCTTCTTCCAGAAGTACCACGGCTTGAGCTCGACTTTGCAGGCGGAGGAGGTGTGGTGGTGGTGGTCGCCGTCGACGGAGACGGAGAGGCCGTGAAGGAGGAGGTTCTTGCACCACGTGACGGTGATGAAACGGCGGCGGTCGGCGATTGTTGTCCGGTACACGGACATGAACACGTTCTGCCCGGATCTTGTGATGGATGCTGGATCGTCGGTCGCGGCGGCGGCGGCCGCCGCCGCCTTCTCGCCGGAGGAGAAACATGCTGGAATTGCTATGTGTTCTTGCATCATTTAATTATCAAGAAATTTAAAAAAAAAAAAAACAAATGATGGGATTAATAATATGAGATTTTGATGGATGTGATGAGTGTGGATTGAATGAATACATAAGAATTTATAGAGAGAGAGAGAGAGAGAGAGAGAGAGAGAGAGATTTAGTTATTAAATGTATTTCTCAGAGAGATAGATGCTGCCAGAAGTTTTCTTGGCAGCACTAATGAAACACAGAAAATTAAAAATTAAAATAATATAACTTCCAAACTGGCAAGATAAAATGAGAGTCAGTGAAGAATCAAGATTCAATCAATCTTTTGTTATGTATTTATATATATTTATTTTATATATATATATATATATATATATATATATATATATATATATATATATATATATATATATATATATATATATAGATGTATTCAATAATGTGATGCCTGGTTACCTGGCTTTATATATATATTATATATATAAATATAATGTTTTTTCATGTTTTCAATGTATTTATTTAAAATAGTCTGAACAACTTTATTGAATGCTACAAAGGTTGGCTTGATTCTTGAAATAGTATATAGTATGCATGTGCATGGTTAAAAAAGATGTGAACTTGTGGGCTTTAATTTGATTTTTTACAAAGCACTCATTTTTATTGACCCCTGGAAAGCATGCATTTCAGTACATGAAATTAGGGTAAATTATGGTCGGCCCTGAGATAAGGATAAATAACAAAAAAGTCCTCTAAGTTTGGGTAATTACAACAACTCCGCAATTATGAATCTTATTACACGTACTCTTATGATATCAAATTCAACATAATCTTCTAGATTTCGTAGTTCTCTAGTTTGTACCCGTTTATGCAAAAATGCAGTTTCTGATGCACCACCATTTGATATTTACAAGTCAAGAGATACATCTTATTATCATCTTGTTTCGAAAAGTGGAGCTCAAATTGGGTAAAACGGATACAAATTGGAGAATATCCCATGTAATCTAGAAGATTCCTGTTGGGTGCTAAATACCTAACACGCAAGTGCACGTATCGCAAACAAGTAGTAAAAGTGGACTCGTGAGAGTCGGATGTCGATCCCACAGGGAATACTCAAATTACCTAATCCTAAGTACCAAATTCTAACAACTATGATTTTTATCCAGCCTACGCAAGGTTGTCAAATTTAATCAACTAAATATATTAAACTAATTAGGAAAGCAAATAAACAAGAGATAATATCAATATAAAAACGGATCTAGGATTTTGTCTTCCCCCTATGCAAGAATTGCTCACCCAAAACCCCTCAATTATGAAATATATGATTCATGATTATTAACCCGAGACACTAATTTACTCATAACCCGCTGTCGCGTGTATTATGAGTCTATTATTCATAAACGGTTCACTATATGTCTATGCAAACAAATTATGAATAAAGCATTAACTAACAAGTCTCGTAAATGGCTACCTAAGGTGATATCTGTATGTCTACGACACCACATGCAATTGACACACTCATCCGGTGAAAACTACTCGAAGGTTCCTATACTTACCGTCTAATTATCAAAATAGCTCTGTCGAGTCAATCCCAATAATCACAGATAAAGCACATAAATTGATCAAGTTCATGCACTAACAATCATAACAAGTATAAGAAATAATCATAAAATCATAATTGCATAATCTCAAGAAAACGGGTTCACCATCCCCACATAGGGTTCCAACAAAATCCTAGATTAAAAACTTAGCTACTCGTAATTCTTATGATAAGCAAAATAGAATAAATAAAATAAATAAGAAAAACTATGCTTGAGTCTTCGTTGATCTTCATTCTTCGTGTTTTGTGGTGTAAAATTCCGTGCTTATGGTGTAAAATTTCGTGCTTATGGTGTAAAATTTCGTGCTTATGGTGTAGAGACATGTTGCTTTTATAGGCTTTTCTTGATAAGGAAGTAGTAGAAACCTAATAGGAATCAATTTCCGCCACTTTCCCCCATCAGGACTTGTTCTTCGATTTTCGCCATGTTGGAGTCCGAATTTTGGAATATTTTGTAAATAATAATTGTAGCCCTTGAAATTAGCTTTCCAATACCGCCAAAATCACCTAATTCGGAGTTCGTATGAGAGAGATATGCTCGAAATCGTGGACACTGTCAAAGCTGTGGCGAGATTCCTTCTTCCAATTTGATTTGTTTCCTTATTTGCAACTTTTTCCTTTCTTTTTGATCTTTTTTCCTTCATTGACACCTAATTCTCGTTTTTCACCTATAAAACACAAAATCAATCAATTAAAGCACAAATATAATTAAATCTAAACAAAAGATCCACGTAAAGTAAACGTATTGAGTGTAAAATCTACACTCAACACACCCCCAAACTTGAACTTTTGCTTGTCCTCAAGCAATCTCTAATCGTAAGCAAATAACTCAACTACCGCATCTTATCACATAGATTAATGACCAACCTCATGTTTTCAGAACTTGTAATTATAATGAAAATTCATAGGCATTCGCAAGCTCAAAATTCAAAAGCACTTAGTCACTTACCATAGCAAAAAACCACAAATCATGCAATTGCTTCAAGCATCCAATATATGTAAATTAAAGATAGAAAAAAGTTATGCTTACATGTATATGTTTGACTCCAAATACTCACCAAAATATTCTACTCTACTAATATCGAACATTAAGCTATTGGGATCATTGGGGCTTTTTGGTTTTCAATTGTTAGGCTTTTTGGTTCGAGGTAGGAAATATGGGTATATGTGGCTATTCTTCTTGAATTGAGGTGATTACGCCAAAATTTGAAATATAAGCGTTTGAAACAATGAAGTCACCTCTAAAGACTTTAATAAACTCGATTCTTAAGAGTTCAAAAGTCTCCACTTTTGCTCTTAAGACAATGGATCGAGCTTTCAAAACAATTCAACAACTAGTCCTTACGTCTCCCATCTAGTCTCTTCTTCTTCTTTTTTTTTTTTTTTTTTTTTTTTTTATATATATAGACACATATATATTTTTCTTCTTCTTTTTTTCTTCTCTATTTTTTTTCTTTTTTTTTCTCTCTCTCTTTTTTTTTTCTTTTTTTTTTTATTTTTTTTTTTCAGGGAAGAAGAAGAAGGACTTTATAAAAAAATTCAAGCGAACTCCAAGGGGTAATTTTTCAAGAATCTCCATCTATTCTACCTTATACACATTGGATAAAAGAAAGAACACCTTTTCTCCGAGGCTCAAATCAAGGTTTTAAGGAAAATTTCGATAAAAAGGTCGGCTTGAAAGGCTCAAACGGATCAAAGAAGGCCCAAATCATATCCCAAATCACTCACTACTCAATACTTCGTATCATAAATTTCCTAAGGTGAGGTCTAAAACCAAACATAGCATGATCTAACACAAATTAACTCCAAATTTAAAATACAAAACATTCAACCAAAACAATGCACAAAGTGTGATTCCTAGCAATAATTCGTTTCTAAGTTCCGTTGAATCGAAAGCTAAACAAATATCTAATCATTATCACACAAAACAAGCAATCTCATCATCAAACATTGATCATCTCTCATAATTATAACTCATCGATCCATTCGACTCAAGCACATTTGTTTTTTTAAGAAAACAATAAATAAACGAGAAAAAAAAAAATCCTAAGGCATGCAAACTAAAAAATTAAAGCACATAAAAACAAGTAATTTTCCACCCCCAAACTTAAAATTTACATTGCCCTCAATGCAATTAGAACAAAGTTCAAGGATAGAATACACCTCAGTAGTTGGAAGGTCCTTCTCCGGGATGCACTCTTTGCTGTTCGTTTAATCCACATTTAACGTCCAATCCCTTAGTGTTTGACTTTCGACCTAAAAATTAAAACAAGATTAAATTATTAGTTTGCGCATGCTAAAATCCTAAGAAAAATAAAAATAAATAAAAATACGAAAATCGATAAATGCTTGGGTTGCCTCCCGAGAAGCGCTAAGTTTTAAGTCTTCAGCCAGACTTTGCTTCTTAAAACTGTTATGTCCAATCCAAAGCCTTGTAGATTGCGCATCCATCCATGAGCTCTATCACTTCAATTGCAACCAAGGCATGGATAGCATTGCAATATATCAGGATCCACCTTAGCTTGTAGTCTTTCTTGGTTGTAATCAATCGGTACGAAGCTAAGATGGGATCTTCATCACCCGCTCCCTCAAATCGGTACACAAAAACCTCACGTCCGCGTATAACCTCCACTTCAAACACATTCGTCTTCTCATCAACCTCTATTGATGCCTTCAAATCTACATTTAGATCAACGACAGGGTCCACAACTAGAATATCTTCAATCATTACATCCATCTCCTTCTTCTCTTGTTTTGAGACATCTTCGTGGTTTAGCTCGATTGCCTTCTCAGATTCATCATGCTCAAGTGTCTTCGTAATTTCTATTTCTCTCATATCGACACTATTTTCTGGACATGGAAGATTTTTCTCACCGCATGCTTCACCCGAATTTTCTTTGATATAACCATTACCGATTTCGTCTGGAATATTTTCAAGAGATTCAGATTTTAATTTGAGCGTCATCTCTTCCAGTTGTATCTCCATGTTTTGAAATGATGCTTGAGTGGACTTCATGAATTCGGCAATGAGGGATACCAAATCAACTTGTTCATCAGTGGTCTGCTGCTGCTGCATTGGATAATAATTTTGAAAATCATCAAATTGTGGCTCTCTATGTTGAAACTCGTTCAAATCTTGATCTTGAAAGCTTTGCTCGTATAAGTTGTGGGTGTAAGTGTTCCGATAACCTCCGTTGGTAATTTCGTCGAAATTCGTCGCTGTTGGTGATACCCAACATTGATCGGAATAATGATTTCCACCACATGCTGAACAAAACGGAGGCATATCATAGGTGTTTTGGAGGTATTCGTCAGATGTAAGCCATTCATATCCCGTTTGAGGTGCCCGAACATTGTAACCAGACATGAAACAAAAACAACAAAAAATAAAAATTAAAAATAAAAATAAAAATAAAAATTAAATGGCTG